TTATTTATTTATTTATTTATTTATTTATTTATTTATTTATTTAATTTTTGTTCAAGACAGGGTCTCCTTGTAACTCTAGCTGGTTTGTGTGCACCAGGCTAGCCTTGACCTCACAGAGATCTGCTTGCCTCAGTCTCCCAAGTTCAGAGATTAAAGCTATGTGCCAAAGTGCCTGTCAGCAATAATGTTTTAACAGTCTTGATTTTAGTTCCGTATGTTTTTACTGTTCCTATTTTTTAAAATACAATTTTAATTTCTTCTTTGAGACTTTCAGAGGTCTACAATATATTTTGATCATATCCACCCCTTATATCCTCTTCCTGCTCCTCTCAGACTCCACTGCCATGTTTTCCTCTGAACTCTATGATCTTTTTCCTTGACCTACTCAGTCCTGTTAGTAATGAGGCTAATATATGCATGGTATAAGGCCATCAACTGGAGTTCTTGCTAATCTTAAGGAAAACACTATACTGCCATCTGCTGGGAAAAAATATATAAAAAATAAAAAGTAGTCTGAATTTTTTAATGCTGTATAAAACCAGTACTCAATTAATTTACTGAGCTAAATTTTAAGAGGACATTTATAGATAGGATGACTAAATATATAGACAATTGAATTAGATTTTTACAAGAGGTTCTGATTAAAACAAACCACCACTGGGAGAATAATGAAACACTTAACGTCTAAAAAAGGACATAATGATCAGAGTTAATCTTAAACGGGAGAATACTTCCATTTAATAAAATAAAAATAGCATTAAGTATATTTATTAAATACAAATGGTAATTATACTCAAAATATGAATGCAATTAATCAAGAAAGGCATTTAATCATTGTGTCCTAATTCATAAAAGGCATAATATTCGATGGAGATTCATGAGTTTGGTAAATAAATAAATAATAAACCATTTTGCTCAAATCTCTCCTATTTTTAACAGCAAGAAATAAAAGTCTATGTATTCAGCACTTAAAAGTCTGGATTTGGGAGGATAGCTAGGAAAAAAAGTAAAGTTGGCTATCTTGATGCTACTCATCAGGTTTCACTTCCTGTTGTTTCACATTTCTGCCTATTCTCTGCTGAAATTCAAAGCTGCACTTGCAAGAGATGGCATGTGGGATCCTATGATTCCTATTAGTGATCATTCAGTCCACAAGTTTTCATTGAACACTTACTCAAGTCGTGGATTTCAACAGAATGTAGATGAAAGCAGAAAAAAAGACGGGAGCAGGGTACCCGAAAGGGTGGACAAGGATTCGGCGAGTGACAAACAGACACAACACAAGAGATGGTTGATGATCTGAATGTAATTTTCTAAAGTGGAGCATCAGATTTTATACAAGTTACAGAACAAGATTGTGCAAGCATCAGGTTGATTTCATGGTTAATCATTTTGTTAGAAATACAATTCAAAATCAAAGCAATACGGTACAGTGTACAGTGTTCTTATCTAATTAATCAGGTGCTTAGACTATTTGTCCTTTTCCCTTAGTGGTTTGGCAACATCAGCTACTTATAAATTTCATGGTTGGTAATTTTATGGTTCCGTTTTTTCAATATTATTTTACTTCTGATATGTTGGTGGCCGAGGCCAATGACTAGGTCAGTGAAGTTATAATAACTCCATATGACTTCAAAGGCTTGTTTCTCTTATCCCTATTTTCCTATTCTTTCTATCCATGTTTCTTATACTGCCTGTAATTATTCAAGTATACTTGCTGCTGACTTGTAGTAAAGGCACCAAGGTGGTCTGGATCTAGCTAACCTATCCATAAACTATAGTGAATACCAAGAAACCTTCCTTCCTAGAATATTTACCCATCTATTATTTCCTTTATAAACTCCTGTAAGAGGAAGTGGTTCGTCAGTGGGCTCGGGGATTCTGAATATGCTCTCCTTTCTCTTAAGGGGATGCCATAGCCTACCTCTCCCTAACTCGTAGGCAATTCCAAAGTCTGTCTTAACTAAAGGCAGCAATCTTCTTTCAATATCCCTTTAATCTCCTTGAGTCAATTCTAGGAACTGAGGTAGGGGGATTATTTACAAATAATTCTTCTTGCTATAATTCAAGGTTGCCCATTCTTAGCTACTTATTGTTTGAAACAAGAGAGGAGCATTTGGAGGAAGTCTAATATTGGGTAACTGAGTTCCCAGGAAATCATCCGTATCTAGTCTCTCTTCAGGTGGGATTAATGACCTGAATAGGTACAAAGCAGTTCCTCTATGAGGAGAGAACAGGAATAAAGACAGCAATGAAGACAAGAACTAAAGCAGAACAGTCAAGGACACAGCATGCTTTTTTAACACAGCCATTCTCCAGGAAGCATTCTTCCTTTGAAGTTTTCTCAGCCTCAACCCACGGAGAGTTCCTCATGCAGGCTCCACTGGAGGTGGCATGACATGTGGTACAGTACAGCCCCTGTTTTCAAAGTCTTTGGTTTAGGGAAATTGTTCATTAACAAAATTCCTGTACTTAAAAAAAAAAAAGATAGGGTCTCTAGCTAAGACTGGACTCAAATTCACTGTGTAGCTGTGGATGACCTTGAAACTTCTAATATGTCTGCTTCCACTTCCAGAGTTCAGGGTGTGTAGCACTACACCCAGGTTATGAGGTGACTGAAACTAACTTTTTAGGGCAAGCAGTAAACTCTCTACAAACTGAGGTAATCCCAATTAAGTTTAATGGAGTACTGAAAAGTGCAGTGGGATCACCATGGAATGGGCAGGAATGAAAATAATTGAGGTGATATTTAAACTAGATTCTGAAAGATGCAATGCTGGGATCAGATGGAGAATGATGAAGAAAGAGAAAGCCAATGCAGGAGTTATGGCCTTGGTGGAAGCTGACGAGTGGCTGAGTTATGCCACTTTACAGGAATGATGCATTCCAGTGGAGAAATGTACTCCTGCCCAATATCAGAGGTGATGGAGAAAGGATGTAAGGCACTTTTGGCCACTAGTCATGATCATGAAAATGAGAGGAACAGAGAATGGTGCTAGAAAAAGAGGCATGTTTGAGATATGTGGAAATATTAAGTACTCTTGTTTGAGTTCTATCCTGTTTTACCCTTCTGATTCAGTTTTATAAGTGCTCTTCAGGTAATATTAATACTGTCTATGATGAAAGAGAAATTTTTCACTTAGAAATTCAAATGGGTAATATGAATTTGTCTGTATGAGGATATCAAGCTTAAGATTCTGTTAAATTTATTTTTACCTAGTCTGTCATATCCTTATATGGATGTTTATGATATGATTCTTTGATAATGCTATAGATTAATAGATTAGTGGTTATGGAAATGTGTCATGTCCTAGTTATTAATGACCTCCATTCTTGATAGGAGAGCTCTTGGTGCAATACTTGCTTTCATACCATTTCTGTTTAACATAATATTTATTCTCCAAGAAATCTGTACTTCTGACACAAACCGTTTAAGAATCAGTTAATTTTAATTAAAGAAATACAAATAAGGACTGTAGTAATTGTTTTAGTTTGTAGAAGTTGATCAAATTAACAATATTACATTCTATTAATTTGAATGAGAAAAAGATTCACATATGCATTTATATCCATGTAATATTGTTTTCTTTAAGATCCTGATGTTTTGCATATTATGAAAACATACCAGTAAATTAGTATTTTTTGTAATTACAAAAATGGAAATTTTAGTTGTCTATTTATGCCTGTAATAGAGAAGATTCAATATAAACTCAAATGTGATTACTCCAGAATGATCCTAAGTCAAATCAGTTTCCAAAGGTGAGGGAAGATGAATATCCTGTGCATAATTTGTGTAGGTGTTGTGGTAGGAATTATTCAGTGAAATAGACCAAAATCCATTATGTATTTTATCCCAAAACATTGAAAAAATATGTTTTATATGAAGCAACAAACTAGAAATCATAATTTGGAAAACTTAGCTATTTATTTCCCTTGTATTAGGTAGTCAATACAAGGGAAACCTTGAGATAAATAATAGGATACTTATAGATTACTTGTGGTGAACCCAGAATCTGAATTCATGGATGTCTGCCTTTGCAGAAGAATTTAGTTCCCTATACTCTTGTTAAATAGATATCATCCAACAAAAACTATTATTTAACAGAACAAATGAAATACGAATAACTTTTAGCAAGAGTATTTTTCAATTCAAATGAAATTAAAGTAGAAGCATATTTTAAACAACCAAGTAAGCTCATGCTGAAGAGTGAAGAAGGCTTACCAACAAAAAATAGTCTTTTCTCAAATGTAGAGAAATAAAAACACTTAAATTTACAATACATTACTTAAGGGATGAAATCTTTTACATCTCGAGCAATTAAATCAAGGGCTCAATTTTCCATAGGTTCCTTTGGCTCACCATCATGTCCTCCACACCAGCTTCCCATAACTTTTCTTTCCTTCAATACCCAAATTCTACCATGCAGTGGAATAAGAAGCACGATTGCATTTTTGTGTGAGATAGAGAAAGCCCATAGAAGTGAACTTTTTTGTGTTTTTGCAGTCATGGCCTGCACAGTCAGCAATAAAGGACTAGAGTAAGCTAGTTGGGGAAGCCTTCAAGCATATGAGCAATTGCCCAGAAGAGCCCTTCCAGGCCTGCAGCTGCATCCAAGAAATCAATCTTTTAATGCGACCTTAGCTCCTGCCTCTCCTCTCCAGCATTCCAAATTGGTTAGTAAAGGTTTGCAGTATTTGGCAACAAAGGCAGTCGAACAATAGAACATAATCCTCATGGACTTTGTACCCGTTATCATATAAAAATACTCTGGCAGAATTTGTACTAGTATTAATGCCAGCTATGTGATGCATGCATTTGTTGATATTTCTCAAATTCTATCTTCCAGGCATATAAAAATGAGAATAAACATAACATCCTTGAAAGACATATTCATAATAAATTACTGCTTGGAAACTGCAGTTTTTAAGTTTAATTGCCTCCTTCCCCTCTATAAATCTATAGCTTCTTGTTGTATGAAAGGAGTAAATGAGAGTTTGATCCTGGACTCCCATACTATATGGATTTAGTGAAAAATGGAATATGATATTTTGCTACTTCTTTACAGTAATTCTTTGGGAATTACTTAAGTTATTTCAGTATAGCTTCTGGTAGCAGGAAATATCTGGAGCAGTATTTTTGTTGTCACATAAGTAACTAGATTTAAGTCAGAATCACCATAGTACATTAATGTTCAAAGTGTTTTTGAAGAAGGTTATTATAACACTATGTAGTTTCTGTTATTATTATTGTTGGTATTTTGGCCCAAATTAGTAGGGAGTGGGAGCAGTGACCTAATATTAGTTCTGCCCTCCTCTGTGTCAATTGTTTTGCCATCCAAAATATGGTGAAATTTGAATCATTTCTTTCTCAATTCCCAGTCAATATAGTTTCCACATATAGGAAATGCCCACCTTAGGCATTCATTTTAATATTTGTTTTTCAGACAAGATCAAATAACTTTCTCAGCACATAAGGACTAATTGGTAGAATTAATGGATGAATTTTATCATGTCTTACCAGCAATGAGGAATTTTATATTATATTTTTATATGGTTCTGAGGACCCCAAACTAGAGTTTTGTGAATGCTTGGTTAAGTGCACCATCGTTGAGATAAACCTTCAGTTTCTTTATACTAATCTCTAACTTGAATATCTGTTGCTTATGCTAATTAAGAAAGACAAGGCAAATTATATATTTAAAATATTATTTTAATTTACATGAAGGAAAGGTGTGGGTACTACCCTATTTTGCCCATTAATTCTCCATCTCTTTACATACAGAAAACTACATATGTAAAATGCTGCAGAGAATTTTCTCAGTGGCTGGCTTGACCTCTGTCTTCATGATAGTAATGGAGAAAAGCCTTCAAGGCCTTCTTTTGCTCTTGTTTCTATTTTAGCATTGATTATCTCACCCTCAAGTCATTCCTTGCATTCTCTTCAAATACATTATACAGCTGAGAGGGACTGAGTGATTGGGTTGTACAAATCACTCAGTGGACCTGTAAACCGGCAAATAGAAAACAGGGCACTCATTTATATACTTCCTGCTTATTTCAAAGGTTTAGGAAGAATTTCTTGAAAATAACCTTTCAATTTATTTTTATATTAATGAAATTGTCACTATCAATCTTTAAAGTGTTTTTCTCCATGAAATATTATTATTATTTAGAAATAAGTGTGATTATGAGGTTATTAGTATTTTATCACATTGCAGGAATGAGTAAGAGCTAAATGACAGTTTTCAGTACATCGGGCTGTTCTGAAGGTATGCATAAACACATTAGTGGTAAACATGCTGACATATAGAACTCTATGGGTTCTAGAGTTGTGACAATATGTTACAGAAAACATTTTCATCAATGATTTTTGTATTACTTTGCATTTCAAACATTGTGCAAGAATTATCCATTCTTACTTAAAGAGGGCATTTATAGTTTAATAAATGTGTTTTCCTTATATGTAAATAATCTGTGATGTAAATATTAGTAGGAAAAAAAGAATTAATACTGTAGTTCAACTGTTTGTAATTCTAAGTAGCATGATAAAATCTTATGTCACTTCACATTGGGCTTCTATACGGATGACAGAGTATGCGGGTTCCAGTGGGGGAGCTGAGAGAGCATGCTGGTGATGGGGGTATAAAGGTGATTAAGATTCTTGGAGATATTTTGTATAAAATACAGAAAGTTCAGTAAAAACAATTTTTAAAAAATCTTCTGTCACTTTTCTCTATGTTACCTGGGACAGGAATCAGCTATGCTACACACAGTACTCACCCCCCATAAATCTCTAACAAGCGGTCTTAGTTGTTATATTGTTTCAGGGTCACAGAACTTGGGTTCATGTCACTTATTTTTAATAATAATCCCAAATCCCAAGAATTGCAATATACAATTTACAATTTGGATGGTTCATTGAACTATCATAAGGTGTTTTTAAAATGCAAATGTAAGGTTTATCATAATCATGAGATGCATGTATACTAAAAGGCATGATTCATATAACTCTTTTTCCCACTTAAAATGAATTTACATCTGGATTAAGAAAATAATTTGAAAATATCATGTCAAAACTGCATTTAATACAGATAATGTACCAACATCCTACCTCAGCTTAGCTGACCTTAAGCATGCTCAGCACTTATACTAACTTTTAGTTGGGCAAAATTATCTAAGAGAATGTCCATTTTTTAGTAAAGTATTGAACAGTTAACATATTTTACATTTAACATATTTTCTAAACATTCAAAATATAAAGAGAATGTAGTATTTACATTTTCACATTATAAAACTCAAAGTTCCTAAGTTGATCTACTGTATGTTTGTGACCTTTTGTATTATGTTCAATTCTCTCTGCAATTTCAGCCAACTATCGGGGTGGGGGACAGGGGTTGCAAGTGTTCAGACAAGGGAGAAGAAATTGATTGAAGATGACAACACTGCCTTACTGAGTTTACTTGAAGGATTGGGATACAGTTAGACCATTTATCATGAATACTGGAGGAGGCCTTTGAGAAGCACAACAAGCAAATTACTAGGACTCTCTGGACTGCTCTGGCAAATGGCACATCAAAGATAAAATATAGAGCAGGTAAAAAAGACAGTTTGTTGCTGAGCCTGAAGACCTGATTTGAGCAACAGGACACACATGGTGGAAAGAAAGAACTGATTTCTGCAAGTTGTCCTCTGATGTCTACATGTATATCTTGACTTGTATTCACTCCACAAATAAAAAATAAATATGAAGAACAAACATACATACTGGGAACTATCACAACATAGACATTTATTTGAAAAAAGTGTTGATGACATGAAGCCAGCAATATTTTGCTACCAACTTGGCAACAAAACTACATAAACTGGAGCAGATCCTACCTAAGTCATATGCAGAGAAAATAGTCAAAAGAAAAGAAAACTCCCAGTCTCTGATGAAACTCAATCCTTTCTAGAAAACACTTCAACCCTACTGATGACATTCCTAGCAAGTGGTAATAAATACAGTTTTAAAAATCAAAGAACTAGAGTAAGGTCAGACAGTCCAGTTCATGTTTCCAACTGCAAACGATTAAGTTTCAATTTTCTTATTTGGAAAATATAGGTAGAATTAAACTGCTTCGGTACCAGATAATTTACAAATATTTCTGAAAACCTTAAAAAATATAGCAAAATAGTACTCAAAAAATGTTTTTTGTATGAGTGTATTGCTTGCATGTGTTTGTAAGTGCACCCGTGTCATACAATGCCAACAGAGGTCAGAAGATGGTGTTGGATCCCCTGGAAGTGGAGTTACAGATGGTTGCTAGCTGCCATATGGGTACAGGGAATTGAACCCTGATCCTCTGCAAGAGCAGTCAGTGCTCTTTACCACTAAGCCATCTCTTCATACCCTAAAATAATATTTTTAAGATTGACCTGAAGTTGTCAGAGAGATGTTAATGCTTGCTATTAACTTCGCTGCAAAAATAAAAGGCATTAAAATAATTTGATATATTTTAAAGGAATTTTGAACTACTTATTAAATGTTTCTTCCGTTTAATATTTCATCAAATATTTTAGCATATTATGCATTATTACTATGTGCTAATTTAGCATATTTTATTTGTATCCGAATCTGGGAAGAAACATTTTATGTTTTATTTAATTTTTTTACAGCTATTATTGTTCAGTAAATTATTGTGCATTTTTACGTGGTTCAGTGTGATGTAAGTACTGACCTGAAGTTGTCGCAGGAATTGTTGTGGAGAAGTTACCCAGAGATACTGGAGAAGAAAGAAGTTGATTCAAACTCAGTTCATGATATAAATATATTATAAAATATTGATTAATGTCTGAATACATTTTGCAAAAAACATGTCTTTATGAGTTCTTAATATAAAAATGCTATTATTGGGACTTACCTGAAGTTGTTAGGGGACTGCTGACTGTTACCTTATCTGCAAAGATAAATTATATCAAAATAATTAATGCATATTTTAGTAAGGATTTTTTATATGTTGTTTAATATTTCATCCAAGAATTTCTAGCTTATTGTGAATTATTAGTATGTATGTACTTAGGCATGCCCTTACTAACTGGGTCTAAGGATTTTAATTTTTTACAACTATTAATTAGTTCATGAATAATGACACATTTATGAGGTTCAGTGTCACTGTGAACCCACATATTTACCCGAAGTTGTTACAGGTGTTGCTGCCGTGAAGTTTCCCAAAGATGCTGGAAGAAAGTAAAGTTGATTTGACTGTGGGATTATAATATAAATATATTGTAAAAGACTGGGTAAGTTTAATGATAGTTCAAAGGGCATCTGATGTTTTGAGTTTCTGTTTTGTCTACTCTCCTCATTTCTATTTATTATCTGGCTGTGATACATTGGATAATTTTGCAGTAACTGCACAATCTATAAGATTTACATAGGTAAATCTGCTTCATTTTGTATTAAAACGTTTTAAATTTTTTTATTACTTTTATTTTATGTGTATGTGTGTATTGCCTGCATGTAGGTAATTGCACTCTATTGTGCAATGCGGCGGAGGTCAGAAGTGGGCTTCGGATGCCTCTGGAACTGGAGATAAGGATGGTTCATAGCCACTATGTGGGTGCTGGGAATCCAACCCCGGTCCTCTGCAAGAGCAGTCAGTGCTCTTAACCGCTGAGCCATTTCTCCAGCCCCTTCATATTGTATTAATTCAAGAAAACTCCTGCTGGTATTAGCTTATCTGCCAAGATAAATGACATTAAATAATTATTAAATATTTTAAACTGATTATAAAGAATTTATTGCTTATATCATCTGTTTAAATTTTATCTAAGCCTTTTTACTTATTAAAATTTGCTAGTATATAACACAGAACATGTCCTCTGTATCTGGATAAAATGAGAAATCGATATATATATATATATGTTATTTTAGGTGATAAACTCATGCATATTTATGAGGTTCATTGTGATATTCCTGCTTAATTGATTAATGAACAAATCTATCACCTCCAACACTTATGATTCCGGGTTTTCAGAATTTTAGAATAGAGGTCTTTAGAATTTTATTTACTCTTTCTTCTACTAAACAGAAAGAAGACTTTACTCAACAGCCACGAAGTAAACACTAGGGTTCACTAATTTCACACAGCTATGTGCTAAAGTTTATAAGCTAGATTCAAGTGTGAGGTATGCTGTAGAAACAGAAGGAAGTGCTTTTTTTTTTTTTTAACTGAGTTGACACAAGTTCTATGATCCTGAGCAGGTTGTTTATTCTTTTATATATTTTTTAATGTGAAAAATGTCACTTCCCTAAAGGGTTATTCAGAAAAGTAAATTATATAATGGTTGCAACATATACTACTTGGCAGACTTACATATTTTAAAAAATAGTTCTCTGAATTTTTATAAAAATGTCATGATTAAGGATAAAATCAACAGTGTGATTTTTATGTTCTTATAATAATTTACATTTATGTACATACGACTGTGTTTAGGATAACTTCTGCAATAAACAGAAGAAATTAATTTTTTCACAATTTGTAGAATGTTAATTTCAAAGAGTGGTGCCTAGTAGTTTTAGTAGTAAGCAGAACCACAATTAATTTTCAAAATTCTGGCTTCAATTTTAATACTTTTTTCATGTCAAAATAATTTTTAATTTCTTTTATTTTCATTTTTAAATTTAATTTTATTTATTTTTTGAATATTTCATACAGGAGAATTATATTTACAGTTTACATCCCTCCTCCCTCTTCAACTCATTATATATACATATATATATGACTATATATACATGTGTATATATATATATTCAATATACTGGAGTGAAGAGCTACAGTCAATCAATGACTCATGAGATAGGGAAATCAGTTTTCTCTAGGAATGACATCTTGATAGATTATTCAATTCCCAGGTCGGCCCTAAAAACGTGTATATAGGGCCATTACTAAATAATTTTATGTTTAATATAAGTAATATTAATTAAAATAATTTCTAATTTTTCAGAGACATCTTTCAGAGGTAGTGTTATTTTGTTGAGACAAAATAAAGTTCTAAGTTTTATGAGCAGTAATGACCAATTTAAAAAGGAGAGTGGCAGTGAATGCTGAAGTGCATCAGTTAACATCACACTTTGGTTTTCCCTTTCTAAAGAGTGCAAGGCATTTGGAAAATTGTCATTTGAATGGTTTTATTTCCAAGGTCAAATTACTGGGTCATTTTGGGGAACCTACACTTACCATATAAAATATAACAGGAACACTGAGATTGGAAGCAGCTGTACTTGGCTTGAGTGACTGGGAACTCTGAAGTCTCTCATATTTTCAGATATCTTACTCCTAACCAAAATATGATTTTTAAATTTTACTAAGCATCCCAGAAAGCTATAGAAATAAAATATTATTTTCTAATGTTATGAAGTTTAATGATTGCTGCGTTTCGAAGCTGGAGAAATGGCATCAGTCAGTAAAGTGCTTGCATGCAAAATCAGGACCTGAGTTCAGATACCCAGAACCCATCCAAAACTGCTGTGTGGGATTATGCACATCTGTACTCCTAGAGCTGGAGGTGGGCAGGGACAGGGGTCCCAGGGCTTGCTGATCGGCTATTCTGATCAATTGATGAGCTCTTCATTCATTGAGAGAATCTGTCTCAAAACATAAGAAAATAATAGTGGAAGACACCAGAACAATCTCAGGCCTCTGCACACTTGTATACAGACTTGAAGGCACACTCACAAGTGGACACACAAACACTACACACACACACACACACACACACACACACACACACAAATATTGGAAATACTAACCTGAAGTTGTTGCATGGATTTCTGTTGAGACATTCCCCAAGGATGCTAGAAAAAGGTAGATTTTACACTTAGGTATATAATTATAAATATATTAGAAGACATATGGTAGTTTGAGTATTTGTTCAAAGGGCCTCTGGTGTGTAGAGTTTGTTTTCTTTGCTCTCATACTTTTCCTATTTTTATCTGGCTTTGATGCAATGGATAATTTCATAATAATAGAATAATCTGTTTATGAGTTACCTAGGCAAAGTTTGCTTCATGTTTCATTAATTCAAGAAACTACCTATTCATTCATGTTGTAGTTATGTAAAATAATTTATACTTAAATAATGTAACATTGTGTACAAGATCTTGCCATTGCTAGAACCTGTATTTTTCAAGAAAGTGTATGACTGACTTCAATGATACTCATAATAGTGATGCATATAGGAATATCTATGGTGATAAAACACTGCTTAAATATGAAGTGTTTTCATAGAAAAGTTTAAAAATGGGATATGTTCTTTAATTGTTACCATGCTTATTTCTTAAATAGAATGGCTCAATTGTCTCAGCCACCTGAAACCAAAGAATGTCTTTCATGGAAAACATTCATCTAATTTTCTAACTATTTATCTAACTTTATTAAAAATTCGCTGGGCGTTGTGGCACACGCCTTTAATCCCAGCTCTTGGGAGGCAGAGGCAGGCAGATCTTTGTGAATTTGAGGCCAGCCTGGTCCACATAGTGAGTTCCAGGACAGCTGGGGCTACAGAGAGACCCTGTCTCAAAAAGACAAAAAAAAATTCTACCTGCAATACATAGACTGAAAATATTCTCTTCTATTAAGGAAGTCTTTCATGTAACTATTTCATCATTTTTGTCTTATCTTGTTCCTACAAGATATGTAATAGTTTTATAAGTTATATATGGCAGATACTTGATAAAAAAGATAACAAGACCAGAGTTCTGTGAACTTTTCATTTTTTAGTTGATGTTCTAAGCTATTATTTATTGTGGGTACTATTATTCTTATTTTTTATTTTAATGAAATCCTCTGCTGTACATTGCATGAAATTCTCAAAGGACATTTAAATTTTTAAATATAATTTGAATTTCAAAATATGTACTTAAGGAATTTTTAACCCACTTAAAATTAATATATTTAAAAAATTACACAACACAAACAAATATTAAACTAATATATCTAAAATTAAGCTTGGTGCCATGTTTCTAGGTGTATTTATTTAAAGTCATTTTGAGAACTTCATACATGGTACTATTCTTGCATCCTTCCCATACCTCCTTCATTTCTCTCCAACTCCACTCATGATTCTCCACTCCTCAATATTCTGGCCTCTTCTTTAATGATTATTGTTACATATACATGTTTATGTACATAAACAACATACTGAGTCCATTGAGTGCTAAATGTGCTTTGACCTGAGCACTTTGGATTGGAAAACCTATCAGGGAGTGTACAACTCAATAAATTAAATACAATATAATTTAGATGTGAGCATGGCCTTGAGTCACTGTTGCAGTAAGACTTGTGACATGTGTAACACAGGTTCTAGGTCAACTCAAGAAGACATACATATGGATTTCTTGAATAAATATATGATTTCTTGACTATAATTCTCATCCCACAAGTTTTGCAACTGTATGGATTCATAAAAATTAGTTTTAACATACTGATCACTTATTTGCCAAACAGACCTCCAAAATGAGAGCAAATTCAAAGAAAGAGAAAAAAAATTCTCAGGAAAAAATGACTTGAAAAAAAATCTAGCTCTTTTCCAATGATAACATTAAAAGCAAACTCTAGCATGATCAGTAAGAAAACACACAATAGTGTCAAAACACCTAGACCAAAAGAATCTGTCATCTGATGGTAGGATATTTACCAAATCATCTGTATTCTGTTCTTTTATTATGCAAAATAAGGGTGGTAAAATGATCGCATAACAGGACTGATATTGGTTAATAAATGGTTTAATAGGTGATATGTTTGTTATAGTTAATAATGTCTTCTGTTGATTTTCAGATTAACTTGAATAAAAGGTACAATATAGACTATGCTTGTTCCAGAAACTGTAACAAAGGGAAGTAGTCCTCTGATGTAAGTCTGGGAAAGTTAATTTACTATCCAGAAACTGAGAATTACCCTGAAACCAAATGGAAGCTATGTTTCATGAGTCAACACTGCAAAGAAAAACTAGAGTGCCACAATTTTACATCTACTATTATAAATCTGTAAGCATGTATATTTAATAAAAATGCATCTCCATACTGACTGACTTTGCTCTTTGCCAAAAGCATTAGAACTGATATTGGTCAGTCAGTTTGTCTCCATTCTACATGGTGTGTATATTTATGTATTGATATTATTCTTGATATGAACATCCTTACATCTCAAACTACCTGAATTCTAAAACCTACTTGGGCCAAGCACTTGTTGATAAGCACTGTTGAATTATATTATCCCAGAATATTAAAACTGTCTCCAACTCAAACAGAATGTAAATATTTTTTAATTGGACTGAGCAGAGTATAGCTAGAGTAGAAAATTTAGAATACACTGGGTACCTATGTTAATCAGTTTTTATTGCCAGTGTGACAAGGTATATGTCATAAACAGCTTGAACTGGGAAAGATTTATTTTGTCTCTTGGCTTCAGAATTTTCAGATCACAGTTGTACTGTCTCCACTGTCCATGATTGTACTGACTCCATTGTTTCTGGGTATGTGTGAGGAAGCACCATCATGGTACAAGAAAATGATTTAGGAAATCTGTTTACCTCATGGCAATTAGGAAGGAGAGGGATTGGGAAAGGAAGTAGAAGTTTAAAAAAGAATATATTTTGTCATTGAAAATATAAAGTTCATATTAAACAATAGCACTCTAAATCCAATGTAGTAGTCTAGATTGGATGCTGAAACAGAAATGTCAGTAATAGGAAGCCTTACAAAAATAATAATGTCTGTAATTTTATTAATAAAAATTTTACAAAACCACACCCATAGTGACCTATTTTCTCCAACAAAGCCCTGTGTTGTAATAATACATTCATCATAGGACCTCATCAGTGTGTGAATTAATTAATTTAGTACTTTAATTAGCCAAGCATCTTTCAACCACTGTACCAAATAAGGACCAAGCCTTCAAGGCAATCATTTTAGGGGTCAACTTCATATCCAAGCCTAATAGCATCATATCATCTGGGTTTTACATTTATATACATACGTGTGTGTGTGTGTGTGTGTGTGTGTGTGTGTGTGTGTGGTTATGGATCAGAAGGCAAATTTGCAGTCAGTTCTTTCCTTCCATTTTATAGGTTCCCAGGATTTAACTCAAGGTTGTCCAGCTTGTGAGTTTATCTTCTGAGCCATCTTCCTGGCCTCTGATATTACCTTTGATTTCTAAGCTTTTCTCCTTTTCTGTACTTTTATGGTTAAACACTATTTTTCACTTTAAGACTAAAGGTAACTTATTCAATAAGAAGCTGATTTGGATTTTATGTGTTAATGTATTAATCCATCTTTGTCTTTTTTTCAATTTCTAATTAGACATCTGTCTTTGCCATTTGACTGTTATCTCATAAGGTCTGTGATTCAATCAGGAATTCTCTAATTTGACTTTCTCATAGATGGTTGCAGAAAAGTCAGGTTATACTTGACCAATGGATAGAATCATTTTCAGGATGCTTTTTATGTCTTGTATTTTCCAAACTTTCTCTTACTAATATATTCCCTTCAAATACGATTTATCCCATTTTTCACTTTTCTCATGTAAATGTGTTACCTCAGGCAATCCGACATGCTCCTAAAGTCAAGGATGATTCCAGAGCTTCTCTGGTATATTGCTGGATTCTTAATTTCATAGCTTAATGATTCAAAGAAATCAAATAATGTTCACAGATACCTGTGATATCAATGCTGTCCAAATCAATACGGAAGGTGACCAGCTGGTTGGATGTATTTGCTTCAATGCCTTGAATCAGTTCCTCTTTTACATTTTCATCTGACACCCACTGAGCAAAGAAAAGGTCAAATAGGACTATAACACTGCCATTTCTGCAAATCGAAAAAAGATGAGTAAAAAGTCAGGCATCTTCAAGTGATTTATGCTCAGTTCATGTAAAATGCCTGTGAAACTTGTGACAGCTATCACCTTGTTAGTCCTCATCGCACTAGTGTAAGTTAGTGTAACCCCTGCCTGCTCAAGTATGCTTTTACAAGGTGACCTTTTTAATTGAAAGAGATAAAAATGAATCTGATAGATAATGTAAAATATCTTATTTTACAGTGGAAGGAAATGGAGGAAATGGATTTAAAACCTCGATACTTTTTAAGAACAGAAATGCTAAATTAAATCCAATGCATTAATAAATAAATAAATAAATTAATTAATTAATTTGTCTTTTTTTATACAGGGTCCCCCTGTATCCCCAGCTGATCTGGAACTCGCTATGTAGACGAGTCTGGCCATGAGCTCATAGAGATCTACCTGCCTCTGCTTCCCAAGTGCAGGAATTAAAGGCATGCACCGCCATTCCTGGCTAAATCCAGCACTTTAATCTCTGTTCATTAAAGTCCACAGGCAAACACTGATTAGCAGGCAGGCTATGTTTTACCCCAGCCACCTGTGTCAAATTGAGCAGCATAACTCACTCAGGTTCTGGCATTTTACTGTTTGAAGCAATGAAGAGTGTGGGTTTATAATGTATTTGGTTGATTTTAAGCAGAGAGAAATCAGATGTAGTTTCAAGGGGACTTTATATATATATATATA